GGGAGGAGGGGGGTAACTTTACCTTTCATTATGCTTTGGATCTATGTAGTTCAGTTGGTTAGAGCAAATGACTGAAAATCTTTGTGTCAGTTGTTCGAATTCACTTCTAAGTAGACAAAAAGGCCAAACCTTAAATGGGGAGCGAGTCACATGTCGAAATGATTGTGGATGAATAAGCAAAAAAAAAAGATAAGTGTTCCTATTATACATGAAGTTTTTTGGCCGTAGGGTTGAGTTGGCTTGCTTGAGGTAGATTAAAAAAAAAAAAAAAAACGGCAATTGATTACTCGATTAGTTCTTCTTATTCCAACCATTAGGAAAAAGTTTTTTTTTTAATCTTTGACCTTTGATGAAGGCAACCTAGATCACCTTTTTTCATAGTTTTTTGATGCGTTGAAGTTCCTTTAATGACAAGGTCAAATATGAGATAATTTACTAATTGCAGGGGTATGGATAAACTAAAAAAATGACTGACGGTAAAATTAAATAATTTCACATATTATATGCCATAACAAATTTGGAAACCCTTTTCCCTTTTAAAAGAAAAAGTAGAAAACGTCGTTGATGCACAATGAATTTCCATTGTGTGCTCTTGTAGTGATGTAAACCTGTTTCGTCTTAATTACCAAAAAAAAATCCTGTTTCGTCCTTTTTTTGCTTAAACCGCTGAATTCAACCCATTATCTATTGAGCACTTGATTTTTGCTTAACCCGCTTCCACTAGCCACAAGGTAATGAGACAATAAAAAAGATGGATTGCGTGTAGTTCACACGTGGGTGAATTAGGAAAAAGCCAATGAAACTAAGTCAAGTGGATGATTTGAGATGTGGGGTCCACCAGTTTTATACTGGAGCTTTGTTAATGGCAAGAGTAAATATGCATAATTTGCTAACTAAAAGAATATAAATGAACTCGAAGTAGGGGTGTTCATAAAAACCCGAAAAATTGAACCAAATCGAAAATCAAACCAACAAAATCGACCAAAAAAATTTATACTTTTTGGTTTGGTTTGGATTTAGTTTTGAATTTTAAAAACCGATCAAATTTGGTTTGGTTTTGATTTTAATCAGAAAAAAATCGAACCAAACCGACTATATCACTAGTTATTTCAAATTTATTATTACAATATATATTGTTATACAAAGTTTCAAAAATTTTATGGTAAATGTTAATAGTTTGCACAATATATATAGTTTTTTACCTTTACATTCTAGTTTGATTGGTAGTTTTTTTTTGTTTAGTGTAAGAATCCATTTTGTGTTAAAAATAACATATTTTTAACTGAGTCCTTTAATTATTCATCACTATTTGATTCAATTATCATCAATATATTTTGGTAAATAATATATTTTTCAAAGGGCAATTGATTTGATAGTGTTAGATTAAAAATGTGATCGCCGGAATATGTGTTTGGTAGTGTCTGTCTTATATTTAAGAAAAAATCGAAAAACCGACATAAATCGAATCAAGAAAAACCGACTTAATTGGTTTTATTTGGTTCTAATATATGAAAAACGGATATACTTGGTTTGATTTTATATTAGGGAAAAACCGAACCATGAACACCCCTAACTCGAAGTATAATAGTAGGTAAACTCGAACAATTTGGATAATACACAGAAAAATTTAAACCTTTTTCTTTTTTAAAAAAAAGAAACTCATTGATTCACAATGAATTTCCATTGTGGACTCTTGTAGTATTGTGAACTGTTCTTTCATTTTCTTTGTCCCCTCTTCTCTCCTTCCTAGAACCATCGTTTGTATCTATCAGGAAATCTTAAGATCTTTTGAATTATTGTGTAGAGAAGCGGATTCAGAATTTTAAATTTATGTGTTTTTATAACAATCTCAAGTTAATCTACATGAATACCGGACTAACGAATTGCGTTCCAAACTAAATATTCTTATATTTTTTAGTGAACTTTTTAGTATAAATACAAAATTTATGTAAAAAATACTGGTTCACGGGAACCCGTCCCCTTTGCCCAACATCCGCCCCTGATTGTGTGTGTCTCATTAGACTTAGCAGAACAAAAATCTAATTTTTAAAATGATAGTTGTACCATTTTGTCCCGAGACATCATTTGCATTTTAGAGTCACGGGGATTTCCATAGTACCCAAAAATTTCCAATAAAAGTAACTTTTAAGATTTTGAAAATATAGTTGAATTAATTATAAACGAAACATTATTAGTTCTTCAGATGATATAGACTAATTTGTGATAACTGAATATATTATTTAAGGTAAAATATATCTGGATCTCCTTAATTTGACGACTTTTATTTTGTGTACGTATGATCTCTATGTTGGACTGATTACCCCATCGAACTTGGTAGTTTGATAACATTGACCCGGAACCGGAAGGCATTGATATGCCAAAGAGCATGAATGCATTCTCTTTTAGCGCATACGAGGAAAAAAATTAAAAAATCATCTTTCAAGTGGGATGTTTTCAACTATTAATTGTCACATAATGAAATACAATGATTTATTTATTTCAATGATGAATGAATTGTAATATTGCAAGGGTGAATAATGTAGGAATTACTAATTTCTTTTTGAATGTTTACTTTCATGATATAATAATGCAAATTGCCGTACAATAAGTTAAAATGTGTTTAGTTTTTGAATAGACTATAAGTTTGTTCACTATTATGTATTTGAGTTTTTGTCACTTTAATGTTTTTAATTTATGTATTATTAATAATACTCACATTCTCATGTCACATTCTATTCAATATAAAATAATATAATTGATTTACCGCGAAATTACACAGAAGCATAGACCAAACTGTAGCAAGATTGACCAACAGAAAAATTATTAATCTTAAGGAGGACTTTTAAAAAATGCTACAATTACTAGTCCTAATATGTATGGTCAAGTTTAAGAAAAAAAAACTTATTTTGATAAATATTTTCCTCAAAAATATTTTTTTCAAAAGTATTTTAGTAGAGAAACAACTTGTGTTTGATTAATTAATTCAAAAAATACTTCTGAGAAGCAATTAATGTTTGATCAAATTTTTAAAAAGTGTTTTTAAGTGTATTTTTCTCAAAAGTATTTTTAAATAAATACTTGTAGGGAGAAATAATTTTTAGTGTCTCTACAAAACTTATTTTGCTTCTACTCAAACACACTTTTTTCTCTCTCTAAAAGCTTGGCTAAACATTTTAACTTTGAAAAAAAGTACAGTAACTTTGAAAAAGCTTGACCAAACGGACTATAAATTTACCTAGTCTGTTCCCAAAAAAATAAAATAAAATAAAGTTCTGATGCAATTTAACTTATGTTTTTAAAAGTGTTATGATATGCGTAAAATTCTAATACTTATAATTTTATAACCATACAACTGTTGTGATATATTTAAAATCATAACTTTCAAAACTCATTATTATAAATTGAAATGAAATGAGTATCTTTCTTCAATGTAGTCCTAGGGACCATTTGGTAATTTGCAATTAACTTTGTCGTAGTCCCACACTCCCACTTGCTCCCTTGTATAATTAAGACAGTGAAAAAGAATCCAATATCTCTCAAATTTTCATTTGTAAAGCAAGTTCTTATGCAGTTCAGTACTTGTCAACAAAAGGTATCCAGCCATCTGCTAAGTTTGTGAGGTAACTCCAGTTTTCCAATTTTATGATTATACACTGAGAAATTAAAAAATAGCCAGATTTACAAGTGGTCATTCAAAATAGAGTTCCAGCATAAGTATATTGAAATTTCACCATATTATAATGGATTTTCCAGCATAAGTATACTGGAGTTCCAGTATAATATACCGGTCCAGTATAATATGCAGGAAGTAATACACAGGTGCTCAAATCTCCAGTAAATTATGCTGGAACTTTTCGCGTGTTAGAGTTACACCATAATATGTTGGAAGTTCATACACATAGGTCCACTGATCTCCAGTATATTATGCTAGATCGGTCCCTATTGCAGCAAACTAGTGGCTATTTTTCAATGATTTTGCAAACATTGACTTATTTTGAATGACCAGTCCTAAAACTGGTTAGCTCGTGCTATTTTTATGATTATATATTGTGTAACATTTACGTTTTCATGAGATCCTTTAGCTGCCTATATAGGACCCGAGTTTTGGTGGGATGATAAGGATTATCACTAGAGGCGGAGCCACAATATTAGCTACGGGTTCATCCTTTGATTATCACCCTCAATCAAACGTTTTAGATTTGAACATTGAGAAACTAAGAACTTCTTGGTAGGGACTTTACGCCCTTATTCAGCTTGTACGAATTAGTTGAACTAGTGAAATTTCAATACTGAATGGATAAAAAAATAAAAGAAAAGATACTTTGGGAAGCCTAAAAAGAAATATTAGGACATATGTTTAAGACTAAAGTTTTACCTTTCTTTGTCAAATTTCATGTCCAGTCAAATACTGTCGCATAAAATGGAAGACATTAGAATCACAATGGACGACGCTCCGAGTTTTCCTCAAATACCCAAAATTCCATTAGTTATGCGACTTGAGAACCAGAACATGAGCGATGACTTTGATCCTAAAGTCGTTTCATTGGGGCCCTACCATCATGGAAAGCCAGAGCTCAGGTTTGTTGAGGATTTCAAACCTAAGTCTCTAGAAATGTTTATTACAGGCAGTGATAAGGACCAAGATTTCTTGCTCGAGAAGATTCTAGAAGAGATCGAGGTTACTAAAAGTTGTTACATGGAAGAATTCACGAGCCAATATAATGACAATGATTTTGCTCGAATGATGCTTCTTGATGGATGTTTTGTTCTAAACCTTATTGAGACCGAAAGACAAGACTGTTGTTTTAAAGTTTACAATACTATTTTGCATCTTGGTATTGGAGTTGTTTCCTTTATTGTGCGTGACATGTTTTTGGTTGAAAATCAAGTACCTTTTCAAGTTCTCAAACTCTTGTTCAACTTGAGATTTGGTGGAGATCATGGATTTGAAGAAATGTCGAAAACCTATTGTTATAATGTTCTTTTCGGCCAACACGAGCCCAAAAATAATGTGTCAATGGATCCACAACCCGCTCACCTTTTTGAAATTTTTCGAAGAGTGGTTGTCCATACTACTACAACAACAATCCAGGATAATCTCACAACTGGAGTCTTGGAAGAGGTTGTCAGTAGTCGTGATCAACATATCACGTATTCAAATGTTGATAGTACCAACGAACAGAGACGGACAACTAGAGTAATGGATCTTATATCAAAAGGCATGAATCATTGTGGATGTCTTGATGAGAAGGAAGAAGGTGACACAATAACAGAATCATCTCATGCATTTCATTCAGTAATGGAGCTGAAATCAAAGGGCATCCATTTTATGCCTAGCGGGTTTGGCTCTTTGTTGGATGTAAAGTTAACATCAAATTATTTCTACTCGAAACTCTCACTTCCATGTTGGTATATCTCAAAATATACTAGAGTATTTTTCCGAAACATGATAGCTTATGAGACTGGTCCAGGTAAATTTGACGAATTACCTGTATCTGCTTACATATATTTTATGAAAACCCTTATTATTTCACCTAAAGATGCGACAGAACTACGAAGGAAGAAGATTATATTCAACACATTGGGAAGTGATGAGGAAGTAGTACAAGTTTTCAAAGCATTAAACACTTATGGAGATGAGTATCCATATATTTACAAGGATGTTAAGGAAAAACTTGAACAACGCTTTAACAACAAGTCACAAACTTGGATTGCTGAATTGTTGGATATTTATTTTAGGAGTCCTTGGTCTCTACTTGCTTTGGTTGCTGCTACTTCCCTTCTTTTCCTTACTATCCTCCAAACTTACTTTGCATCTCCATTTTATTCTTATGTAAAAAAATCTTGATTTGTTTACAATATTATGTTGGATGAATTAATATTCCTTCCATATATACATTTTCTCATGTATTACTTTATTGTATTTTCCTATGATTGTTCGCAACAATACTAAGTTTAATATCCTCTTCAAGTGGGAGAAATTCAAAAATAGCTTGGTTATTCAAAAATAGACACACTTACAAAGGTAATCGAAATTTAGCCATATTTTATGTAAAGATAAATTTGTACGAAAATACTGTTAAAAATTCGGAAAAAAACTCCAGCATAATATACTGGAGTTTGGAGCGCCGGTGCTCCAATATCAAGTATATTATACTGGAGCCAGCAAAGTATACTGGTTCATCATAATATGTTGGAAGTTCATACATAAGTGCACCGAACTCGAGTATCTTATGCTGGACCGGTCTCTATTGCAGCAAAATAGTGGCTATTTTTTATTGAATTGGTAAATGCTGGCTATTTTTGAATAATCAATCCGAAAATTGGCTAGACCGTGTTATTTTAATTCTTCACGCTCACCCTTTATTGTATATCTTGATTTTCCTGCCATCCAAACTTAGATATTAATTATATCTCGAATGAAAATAATTTAGCTTAAACATTTAATTTTATCCTTAGTGAGAATTTTTTATAACCACACAAATACTCTAAATCTCATTTATGACTTGTTTAAGATCATAAATTTTAAAAATATTATTTTTTTTTAAATTGCGTGCCCGTCCAAATAAATTCACATGAATTGAAATGGAGAGAGTAATTTTCATGAGTATTCAAGTTAAGAGAAATCAGTGGGGAAACGTACAACTAAAAGGGTTTTGAGGTAATAACTAGAATCATGTGAAGGTAATGAGGAAGAAAATAACAAGTATGTATGATCAACTGTAGAGTTACAGTGGAAATCATTCAGCTAGAAGGCTAAAAATGATTCAGATTAGATGCTTAATACTCTCTTCGTTCTAATTTACGTGAACCTATTTGACTGGGTACGGAATTTAAGAAAAATAAAGATCATTAGAATTTGTGGTTCTAAACAAATCAAAAGGTGGCCTAAAGTATTTGTGTAGTTATAAAAACTTCTCATTTAGTGTAAAATTGTAAATTTAAGCTAAATTGTTATCAAATGTAGAAATTAATTATTCTTTTTGGAACGGACCAAAAAGAAAATAAATCACATGAATTGGAACAGAGGGAGTATAATAAAAAGCTTTCCCAATTATATTATTCTAACTAGCTTTTACTAATCGGAAAAGGTGCAAAAATGCCCCTGACGTATTGAAAATGGCTCAAAAATGATCTCCGTTAACCTTTTGATCTAAAAATACCCGTACTGAAAACGGATCAAAATGTATGATAAAACAAACATGTATAAGAGTCAATTTAGAACTAATTAAATGGAATAATTCATAATTGAGCAGCTTTGGCAATTGTTATACTTTAGGTCTAATTAATCTTATCCTCGTTATAAAGAAAAAAACTAATGTTTACCCTTGGCATCAAACAGAACCTACTCCAAATATAATGAGTAGTAATTTTAAACTATAATAAATAGTGAATATGTGGTATGTATAGTATATTTTTTTCGAAGTATTCTGACACCAGAATTTCAGTAGTTTACACCATAGATGCCGCGATCCGGAATTTTCACCGTCGAAATCGTGATGGCACCTAACATTTCATTTGCTAGGTAAGCCAACATTAGAACATATTATTATGACAATTTAAAATAAAATAACGAAGAAAAACTGAATTAACTGCAATAATCTAAAGTAATAATGCGAAAGCTAAAATAACCGAACTTTTAATACATCTCTGGACCTGGTGTCACAAGTGCACGAGCTACTAAAATAGTACATACAAGGGTCTGAAATAACAGAAAGTTGTCTGAAAAGAAAGTACACTACTAAATTTAAAGAAAAAACAAAAAGGAGAAGGGGATTCGAGGAGCTGCGGGCACTGAGCAGCTGTACCTCAAATCACCGCAAGCTATCCAATCCGAGCTCACTAATACCCGCCACTAGGACCAAATCCAAAATTTGCACAAGAAGTACAGAGTGTATTATGATTACAACCGACCCCATGTGGGAATACACCTTCGTGTATCTCGGAAATGCGAAGGCTATTAGAGTCGCTGCTCCGCGATCGCTTCAGACCCTTAGCGAATACGAAGAAGGTCTGACGCATGTGTATTACAACAGACCTGAAAGGAGATTATTCAAAAAATTTACCACTCTTTTATTAGAACTTGACCTAGGAGCGATTTTGAAGAGGGGATTCAACACCAAATCATAGGTTTGCATTTTTTAACTCATTTTCTTCCATTTCTAGCATCATCCATTGAATTTCTAACCCTAATCTTTGTTTTTCCATGATAGAAATTAGGAATTTAGGAATTCCGGATCGTTACATAGGCCAATGCTCCCCTAAAAGTTTACCCCTTATTGTATATCTTGATTTTCTTGCCATCCAAAGTTGACATTAATTCTATTCTTGTAGATGCATGTACTTAAGAAGTTTAGCAAGTGTATCTTTTTTAATCTATTAAAGTCTGATTTAATTCTATTCTTGTGGATGCATGTACTTAAGAAGTTTAGCAAGTGTATCTTTTTTAATCTATTAAAGTCTGATTTAATTCTATTCTTGTGGATGCATGTACTTAAGAAGTTTAGCAAGTGTATCTTTTTTAATCTAATAAAGTCTGATCTAAGGTAATCCAATTCTTTTGTATATGTCGAAGAATAATTGAAGTGGTAATAGGAAATAATAGTTGTTTAGAATTTGATATTTGTGTTTTGTCAATTGTGTACTACAGCTACAAGGCTAAAAATGACAACCTAATCGTAATGTGAGCTGTTATTTCGTCCTTTTCTTTTTTCTCCTTCTGCCACTCATGGCCTATCGTGTATCAAATCACCCAAATCGATGGGTGAGGTATAAAATAAAAAATTTCGGCTTTTATGGATTATTATATGTCCTTTTCTTTTTTCTCCTTCCGCCACTCATGGCCTATCGTGTAAAGAGTAAATACTATTAAACCCCCTAACTTTTAGGGGGTGGGAAACAATACCCCCTCATCTCTTGAATGGGAAAGGCAACCCCCTTGGACAACTATTTCCGGCCAAAATTTTTTTTTTATAATTGTTTTTTTTTTGTTATAAATTAATTTTTTAATAAAAATATTTTTTTTTTGTTATAAAAATCTTTTCCGGTAAAATAATTTTTTTAATAAAAATCTTTTCTGGTGAAAATGCCTACATAATAAATTTTCAAATGTGACATTATCAACTGTAATTTCTGTTCAATAATAGTATTTTCAAAATAAGTAAACTTTAATAATTATTTTAAATAATAATTTTAATATACAAAAAAATACATAAATAAATTAATACTTATAGCAACAATTATTTCATCTAATATATATTAATCGGCCTAAGCAATATATTAGAGAAATTAAGTTTTTTATTATACATTATACTTGCCAAGAAATATGGTAAACGCACATTCACCGTGGATGCTTTAGCATTTCAATTTGAATGGAAAAAATACATTGAAATAGTTAATTGTCTTACATATATATTAGATGAAATAATTGTTGCTATAAGTATTAATTTATTTATGAATTTTTTTGTATATTAAAATTATTATCGAAAATAATTATTAAACTTTACTTATTTTGAAAATATTATTATTGAACAGAAATTACAGTTGATAATGTCACATTTGAAAATTAATTATGTAGGCATTTTCACCGGAAAAGATTTTTATTAAAAAAATTATTTTACCGGAAAAGATTTTTATAACAAAAAATATTTTACCGGAAAAGTTTTTTATAACAAAAAAAAAAGAAAAGATTTTTATTAAAAAATTAATTTATAACAAAAAAAGAAAAAAAATTATAAAAAAAAATATTTTGGTCGGAAATAGTTGCCCAAGGGGGTTCCCTTTCCCATTCAAGAGGTGAGGGGGTATTGTTTCCCACCCCCTAAAGGTTATGGGGGTTTAATGGAATCTACAGGTGAGGCATAAAGTAAAAAAATTCGGCTTTTATGGATTATTGTATATCGGTGTCATTAGATTTAGCAGCAACAAAATTTTATTTTTGAAAATGCTGTTTGTAATTTTTTGTTCCATAAGTGTGACATAACTTGAAGTTCATTATGAAAATTTTCTAAATTCGAAAATCTCTACATAAAAAAACTGTTTTTACAATTTTTACTTCAAATTACTTACCAAAACTCAAAAATGATTCCAATTTACATTCATATCCTAACGTTAACATGTGGCCGACAAATACTTTTATAAAGTAAAGTGGGGGCTATTTTTAATATAGTAAACCTGAAAAAGATATGATTCCCTTTTTGATGGTGATCGTTGGCCGATAATTCCAAAACCAAGTGTGTCCTGGCCTAAGGACTCTATACATGGCTCTACAAATAGGTTTGTAAGATGGCCTAAGAATTTAACTGTGGTGATGACTGGGATTTGTGAAGGTGTTCACAATTGCGACTTCTTTCTCGCAATTGCGAACACTATTGCAATTACGACATCTATGACGGTGTAAAATTTAAGTTATACGAGATTTTGTTCATTCTTCAAATTTTTAAAATAAGAAAATCCTAGAGGTGATTTACCCGAGCATTATTCTTCCCCAAATTATTGATAAGTGATTTTAATCTAGTTTCTTTCAATCTTTCATAATATTTCCTAATATTTCAATCTAAAATCTAGTATTTTCACGGTGAAAATTAGGGGTTTGGGTAGAATTAGGAATTTTTTTAAAATTAAAATTCAGACTTTAAATTGAGGTCGGATTCCAAAACAAATTACATAACCGGGCTCGGGGTGAATGGGTAATCGGATTTTAGTACGAATTTCAGGTTTGGACCACGCGGGTCGGGGTTGACTTTTTCAATAATGAACCAAATTGAATCCTTTGCCATCGTAGGTGATTCCTAAAGCTTATGTTGAATCGTTTGGTTGGTAATTTGCTAGATATTGTTGGTTCGGAGGCTTGTGTGAAAGGCAAAGCTATGGTTGAGCTTTGAGTGGTCTTTGAAGCG